AGATTGACCCCCATGCCTGGTAGCTTTATTTGATCAAGTCTAAAGCTGAGTGGACTAGAAATGAGTAATGAGTGCAGTATGCAGCGCAATAAAGAGTTGACAAGGGTTTTGATTTTCACCTTCAGCTCTGACTCTTATGCTTCCTTTGCATCTAAAAGACTCATAGAAATATCCACCAAGAGACAGACAGAGGAAATAGAGAGAGAGTGAGTGGCCCTGATGATAGAGAGTGAGTGGACCTGATGAGTTTGTCAAACCACTCAGAGTTTCTGACCCAGAGCCAAAAGCTATGTGAATGGAAACTTTATGGAGTCTTTAATAAACAAATCCATCAGCACATTGCTTAAATACTGCCTGTTGGAATTGCAGTGGTCCAGCAGTTTGAGAGCATAGCTACATCTTAAGAGGGTAAATGGTTTGATACCAGTGTCCTGCTCTTTAGGCATTTAACCTCAAGTTGCTTCTGGAGCTCTCTGCTAACAGAAGTTGTGTGCAGTGTTTGAATGTCTTGCACCATACTTTAAACTGATTGTCTTCTTTGTAAGAATCTAGTGTTTAAAACAGAGTTTATTTTCATTCACCTAATTTTATTACATGAGAATCTCAGTTCACAAAGTGATATACTGTGTTGTCAGTACTGTGTGTACAGTACTGTGCAAAAATCAGAGACCATGTTTTCATTTATTCAGTTTTCAGTCAAAGTTATATCTGTGTCCTCCTGACAAAAGGGGTTCCCAAAGCTGACAAAGTTGGGTAGTGACTCGTTATATTTAAGTACTTAAGTAAAACATTGATGGATGTGAACTTTCCTGAGTATTTTCAAATTATGATACTTTTACTTCTGCTCAAGTATATTAATGGGTAAAGGAATCTGCTTTCAGTACTTGTACTTCTACTTCAACCATGTATCAATGCTTCTACTTAAGTATGGATTTTAGCTACTCTATCCACCTCTGGTCGCTTCAAACATTCACACAAGCAACTACCCACACACACACCTTAGCTGCCTTTTCTTGACTAGAGGAGATATTTTTTATTAGATATTAGAAGGGGAAAGGGGAAGAGGGCAGCAAGACCTGGTAAACCACCAAAACTGTCACCGTCAGATAAACAGTATTTAAAGCTTTCATATTTGAGAGGAGAAAATTAAGCTCCACTCTTGTTTCAGATCTGAAAAAATCCACAGGTGTTTCTGTCCATCCTTACAGTTTGAGAAGAACAACTCAACACTGAGTCTGAAAGGATGTGTAGCTGTCAAGCAGCTGTTACTGAAAAAAATGAGAAAACTCAAAGTAGAACACAGAAACATCACTGAATGTGTTTGGGATTAATTTGTTTATGAGAAAGAGAAAACCCCAACCAACTTCTAAGACTAAACTTAGGGAATTCTTTGAAAAACTGAAAGCAAGTCTCCTGAATGGAATAGACGCTGAAATAAAGGCAAAGGTGGACACCCAAAATACAAAAAAAATAAAAATTAAGGCTGTAATTTTCTGCTAGTTTATGCTGACAACTTGTATTTCGTGGACATTTAGACTAGAAATTAAATAAATGAAAGGGTGGTCTCTTACTCTTGTGCAGTACTATGATTTAGGTAATAGTGTTGTAAATATATAATGAACCAGTGCCAGATTTCTTTTTGCTAGAATGTAAATCTTCTTCTGACTGGCAATAAAATGTTCTGAACAGACAGTGCCTTCTAAGGGGGTGCAGTGCTTCCGCAAGAGTTTCAGGATAGTTGCATCTTCGTGTTGTGCATTAGAGCATTTTTGTTAGCCATGACAGGCCGTCTCATCAATTAGCAACAAGAACGCTGAACTCTTCTGCATTTCAGGCTCTTAAACTTCTTTAGACATCAGTAGACCTTTAAAACACTGATTTTAAGAATATACAAAGTTGCCTGGTCATGCTGAACAGTAATGAAAAGGGTCAAGCTAGCTGAAAAGTACCTTCACACACACACACACACACACACACACACACACACACATGCACAAACACGCTTGCACCTGCTCTATCAGTAGTTCATTATTATGTAAGACTGCGCTATCTGTTTGCTCCAGCAAGCTCCGGATGACTGGGACGTCTGAAAGAACCTCATAAAGACTCTTCCTCCCTCTCTCTCTTTCCCACCACGCCTTGCCAGTCTCGATCTGCCCATTCCTGCCTCTCATTTGGTATAAATATCTGATGGAGTGAGCCCCACTGAAATGCCTTCAGATATGATTAATATTGAATGGCATGCTGCTGCTTTGCCGCAGTATTTTCCAGTCTTTGATGAAGCTGGGAAGCTATAAAGCTTCTTCTTATGTTCCGCCACTTCAGTGCTGGTGCGTGGTGGCCTTGCTCTACATGTAAGCAAGGGAAGTCAGAACACTCCAGCTAATAGAGTGAGAACTGGCCATGGTCTTCACTTTCTGATAAAACAGCTTTGTGTCGTTGAGACATACTGAGACATTCATTTCCTACCAGCTTGTGAGTAGCGTCGGCCTGTGCCACTAATCTTAGATCAGTCTTTGCCTTTCATGCACAGACGAATGCCCTCCTAGTGAGGGGATGCTGATCCTAGATCAGCACTCACTCTAAAAGTTTGACATGTACAGCGTGACTTCAGAAGACTCAGTATTTCTAATGGGAGAGGGTCTGCGTTCTGCTCTGGTAATGCTATTTTTATCTGGTCTATTTTTGAGAAGAATCCACTTTTATGTGTTGCATCATGATATTTATTGCCATGGTTACTTTCCTGCCTACTTGTCCAAGGTAACTGATGTTCTGCATGTTAATAAAGGGGTGTGGTTTGTAACCATGGTGGCGTTCTTGTTAAATGAGGTTACCTAGTTGTGTTCAGCACCATTCACTTGAATGAAATGCCACATACGCTTTGCTCATATTGCCCCACAGAGACACATATTGCAGATTCTCTATGCATACTTTACTGTTCCTGAATATACAGTATTTCTAAATCTGTTGGGTGCATGCAAGCATTATACACAGATCTGTTTAGTTCATAGTGTTGTGTGTTGTGTTATGTTTTGTATCTGCCTGGGTTATATTACTTTATTTAATTTAATTATCCTTATGAAGCATTCTTGGATAGTGAAAGTGCTGGGTAAATTGAATTTACTAAAAGGGCTGAAACATAAGAGATAATGATAAAAATAATCAAAATTAAATAATATTATAATATTCTTTTTATAATGTCTCATAAAGAGAAATATTAGACTTATTTAAGATGTTTCACTTGCTGTGACATCATTTTTGCAGTGTGTTAAATGCTTGATGTGATTGTTGCTTTTCAGTCTAGCTATCATAACTTGCCCTGAGAGACTCACCACGGCTCACAGAACCTGTTTGCAAAAGTAGGCCTCCTGTCAGACTGATTTAAGCCAGTGCATTGAAATGCATACACATGAACATAGCCATTCTAAAAGCAGCTGATAAATAACTATGGCCAGCTTACACATGCAGTGGACATCAGATGCTCCGTGTGCATCTGTAGTGTAGTGTCTCAAGCTGAGACTAATACGAAAGGATGCTAGGGGGAGGGAGAGTGAAATGTGATGATGAAGATGCTTATGGGTAGGTGTGAGATGAAGAATGATATATCCATCATTAGTTGAAGAACTAAAAATGTTCACATAGACTTCATGTCTTTTTGAAGAGCCCAACGCAGTCATTAGTCATACACACTTAAAAAGATGGTTCTTCAAGGGTTCTTTATTAAAGGAAATAGTTCTGTATAGAACCGTGAACACTCAAAGAACCCTTTGCAAGATTACAGGGTTCTTTGCATTGTAAAAGTGCCCTTCAGATAGATGGAGAATGTGCTGTAGATGGTTCTCTATAGAACCTTTTTGAAAAGAGTTCTACATAGCACCAAAAAAGGTTCTACTATTGTTGTAAGTGTGAAATAATAAGAATATTTAGCACCCTTTTTGGTGCTGTATAGAACCCTTTTCAAAAAGGCTCTCTGCAGCACCATCTACAGCACATTTTCCATCAATCTGAAGAACGCTTTCATGAGGCACGAACCCTTTAATCATGCAAAGCATTTTTTGGTTGTTCATGGTTCTGTACAGAACCATTTTCTGTACTAAAGAATCCTCGAAGAACCATCATTTTTAGAGTGTACCTGTGGATGCGTATCAGTCCAGCCACCCCTCTGGGTGCCACTGCTCTGGACTGCTCAGGGTTCCTTTAATCAGCCTGAGTTGTAGCACAAGCATTGTCTCCAAGGTTATTCACATTTCATGTAGCAAGGCCAAGATCAATATTATTGTCAACTTTATCAGCTGTCTGATCTCTGTTTCTCGTTCCCTCCCTCACTCTTACTTTGTTTGATAGAGCATGTAGTAGAGCACTAGACAGTTCAGGCTATGTGTGTTAATGTGTGCTTGCTCAGGACTCTGCCGGATGCCAGGTTGATTGGTCTGACAGCTTATGGAAAGGTCATTAAAGGTGAAGCGCAGCATGAAGCAGTGGATTGATAGTGCTGAATGTGTGTGTGGTGCTTTTGGTTTGTGCGTTGCAGATCAAGAGGAGAAGACAGGTGTAATGAAACCATCATGTTGATGGTTCTGAATCAATGAGCGTGTAAGCATGCCTTCGCTTTCACATCTCTCAACCTTATAGCTGTGAACAAGAGACCTGTTCTCTTTGCAAAAACTTTTTCACAGGCATGTTATAATTTTTCATCGTGGTGTATTTTATTTCACAAACTTGTAAACAGAAGATGTGGTCAGTCAGCACTCAGAATTAAGAATCTTATCTAAGGTGATTAAATCCACAACCCATCGTCCCAGTTCACTGGCTGTTGGATCACCACCACCCTCAGTCACTAATCGTCGCTAATCTACTTTCTTACCAACTTACCAAATATCTTTATTTCATCACTTGGTATATTTTGTGATTAATCAGCACATTGATTACCTGATTGGTGGTGATTGATTCATGAATTAGTTGACCGATTAGTTGACTGAATGATTCATTTTCTCATGCAGGGTAGTAATGTGGTGGAGGACCAGGACCTACTGGAGATCGGGATTCTAAATTCTGCCCACAGACAGCGCCTCCTACAGGCCATCCGCCTACTGCCAAGGGTGAGTACACTGATCATCAGTCACACTGAGGTCACAGAGAGGTCATTCTGTGTGCAAGTTGAGTGCTAGATGCTCCCCTCAGTCTTTTTTTGTCTTTCATTAGTAAAAACTTCAATTAAAAATGAATTAATTCAAACTTAAATTGTTTTCCACATTGTACAATATAGATGACAAATGATAAGTTGATCAATTCAGTGCATAAATTCTAAATAGAATGCAGAGTGGCAGATAGTATTCTGGGTTCTTTATACAGTGGTATGCTGCATGACTGATACTGAGAGAACACAGTAGAGAACCTAAATTTAGCTAATATGCAAACATACAGAATATATTGGTAGACTAGAAGTGACCAGAACTTCATCACTGTACTGGTCTGGTCCTATAAAACACTGTCATTCAGATACAGTCTAAAGCCTGGCTTAGAAATCTCTGCTATGCCCATAAAAAAAAGAAAATACACAGACAAGTGAGAAAATTTTAGAAAAAAAGTGTGTTAATAAGGTGTTGAGCTGCCAGAAGAGTTTTAGAGCACCTTGGCAAAGATTTTACTGGATCTTTTACTGAATGAATGGAATGCCATACCATATGATTTACATAATTTTTATACTTGTCAAATTCAATTACCCCTAATGTAGATGGGAGCGTTGGGCCTCATTCACCAATATCTTCCTGAGTTTTTTCTTAAATTTGTTCTTGTAGAATGTCTACGTCAGATTTATGATGTGTTCTTAAACTGAAGAACTGTTCGTACCTTTGTGCTCTTAAGTGTGTAGATTATGTTCTTACATAAGAACAAATCCCAAATAAGAAAACATTGGTGAATGGCAGAATCTTTGTAAAAAACGAGTAAGTGGGTTTTAAGAAGAAATTTCTGCTTAAGAACGGTTGCTGAATGAGGCCCATTTTTATCCTGGAAGAGACCCACTACCATCAGGACAGAAATGATTCATCACAGGATAAAGATGATCAATGAGAAAATTGTATTGATTTGTAGGGAAGGACAAGTGGACCCAAAACATGTAAGCAAAAAGAGTCACCTGACACTGTAACATTCAGGCCTGTACAGTTCTCCTGGTGTATGGTACACATGCACTCACCCACTTGTGTAGAATATGCTGATAGATTAATCACTTTTTTCCACATCTCTGTAGATCAGCGTCTGTGGTTTTCACTACTCTCAGATTGTGAATGTATTCGTCTGTGTAATGAGGTGTTTATGCAATGCGGCTGTACTATAAGATCCCTCTCTGCGTAGTTGTGGACGGACTGTTCTCGCTGACTCAGTCTGATCACGTCCTGCACTGACATTCTCACCTGAGAAGCAGCTGCTCTTCTGTTTCTCTTACATATCGTACTAATGTGGGAGCATCACAGCCTGTGTTATTGATCTTTCCCAAATATCTAAATGTCACTTTAATCACAGTCCCTGTTGGAACAGTTGAGCCGTCTTTATGACTGAAGCTTCTGCCATCCGTGCCCCAATAATGAACCCTTTTTCAAAGTTGCTTAGATCTTTTCCTCTTGCCATCTTGATCAAAAATTAGTCAACTCTGCCTGCTCAGCATTTTTATACGTCTCAGAGCATGGTAGGATGTTAGTTGCTTACCTTTATCATACCAGACAGCATCTACACTTGTTATATTTCTCCACTCATTTATTCAGGTTTTCCCTTGAATTTGTCACCCATCTATATATCACTTGTATCCTGGAAATAGAAATAAAAGCAGTGTTGTTTTATAAAGTAATGTGTCTAAGTTGTATGCAAAAATTTGGGCTCCCATGACCAAATGTTTAAAATGAAAAGAAGTTAATATAACCCCTGCAGCTGTTTTTTTTCTGCATGGTTACTTTATAATGAATTAACTTTAAAAGAGATGACCATTTCTATACTCACTCACACCTAATTTAACTCAGAAGTTGGTGTGTTAAGAGCAAGAAAATCACCAAGCTGTGCTGGACACCACCACTCTAGGGTAGCAGGTCGCCACCCCTGACTTAAAAAAAAAAAAAAGAATTAGAAATTGTGGCATGTACAAAAGTTTGAACCTCTTTCTCAGAAATTAACACATTAGACCTTAATTGGCTCATTAGGACTAGTTAGGCAGGTGAAGAATTGTCATTGTGAGCTGTGAAAGGGTTGGTGTGGAACTCTTTGGCCACAATCACCAAAGGTATGCTTGGAGAAAGAAAGGAGCAGCATTTGATAAAAAGAACACCTTTACCAGGTGTTAATCATGGGGGTGGATTTATTATGCTTTATTGAAGAATAAATTGCACTAAATATCAGCATATTCTGGAAGTAAATGTGACAGTCAGTCAAGAAACTGAAACTGAAAAGTGTCTGGCCTCTGCAAGAAGACAATGATCCTAAACATACCTCAAAATCCACCAAGAACTACTTCAAGAAACACAAGCTGAAGCTTTTGGAAAATATCGTTGAAAATCTGAGGCTGTGCATACTAGGCAACCGAAAGAATGTCGCAGAACTACAGTCATTCTGCAAAGAAGAGTAAAGCGAAAATTCCTCAAACAAGAATAGAAAGACTTTTCACATGCCACTATTACTTTTTTTTTCAATTATTTTACCTGTGCATAAACGTCTGCATAAAAAAATGTTTTTTTAGTAGTTTGCTGCAGGGGTTATATTTACTTCTTCTCACTTGAAAAATTAACAGAGTTTATAATTTGGCCAGGGGTGCCCAAAGTTTTGCACATAACTGTATACTGGAATTATGTGTGTGTATGTTACATCTGTGCTACAGATTTCATGACTAGAGGAGATTTCATGGTACCCACCCACTGTCATTACACACCCTTGTGCACACACATATACACACTAACCCCCCCGCCAGAGACAAGAGCGCTCAGTCTAAGACCCCCACTACTGCAGTAATCCACTAGAGCCGCTCTCAGTGCTGTGTGTGTGTGTGTTCATATGCCCTGATACCAAATAAATCTCTCCAATGTCCCGAATAACCTTCCACTCCCCCTAACCTTGACAATCAGATAGTGCAGAGAAAGAACCGAGGGGAAGATTGTATGAGCTTAGAGAGACTAATTCTGTGTTCACATGCGTGCAGTAGACAGACGACGGCAAAGCGGATATTACATTGTTTTCAATGGAGCAGCGATGGAAAATTCTGCAAAATTTTGTTCCGCAGACCCTCAGCGGTAAGCGAAGAGCTCCATCAAGAGTTCAATTTTCCCAGCTTTTGTTGTTAATTTCTTGGGGAGCCATGGATGCCATACCTCCCATTGAACCCACTATTATACAACAAAAAATAAAAGCATACAGAGTGTTCTCCTGCCCTTTTCCACCTTAGATAAACAATATACACTGCTACAGCTCTGCTTTGATCGTCCATTTTCGCCAGCATAGCGGTCACCATGCCAACCATGCGTAGCTCCATGCCGCCGTCAGCCACATACCACCATAAGCAACAAAAACATATGAGCATAACATAACTCACACACACATCAGCCAGCTTTGTTTGTTCAGAATTGAACCCAGTCAGATGTGCAGAAAATCAAAGACTGCATGTTTGTGTTTACCAGAGCTGCGGAATACGAACAGTGGCTTTACTTCATCTTATTTCGCTGTCTTATCTCAATATGAATATTTCATAAAATCAATTATGCAGCATACAGTTTGCGCATGGAACCTGTAATACTGTCTGCTGTTCTTTATTCAGAATTTACCCACTGAATTTGATGAATGCAAATGTAATTGAGAGAGTATAATGAACAAAAGGAGATTCAGCAATAAAACAGATGACGGACCTGTCACATTTGCTGGTGCTGCTGATGGTGTATGTGTGGAAATCTTATGGAGATAAGCAAGCTCGCACTGAGAGGAAAGAAACTTTCAGCTGGAGTCAGCACTTTCTTTCTCTGCTTGCACCTCTAAAAGCAGAGTAAAAGAGACAGCAAATTCTGTCTCTCTCTCTCTCCGTCTCTCTCTCTTCTCTCTCTCTCTCTCATTCTCTTTGTCAGAAAAGCCAGTAACACACAGGGGATGTGATGGGCCAGGCACAGAAGCAGCAGTTTTTGTCCAGGGCTTGTATTCACACTGGGTGCAAGTCACATAAACATATTCCACAAATGAGATAATGTACAAATACATTCACTAAACACCACATTCTGCCATGCTACTGCTATTTCAGGGTCACTAATGTATCCAGAATGGTTCAGCATCCAATAATATCTGGTCAACAATAGTCTATGGTCAGAACTGACCACTGATGAATGAGTTAGAGGATGACTGACTGTGCATGACAACAGTGCGCTGTAGTCTGTAATTGTACATCTATATATTGACCTGTAAGGAAGGCAGAGCTCATAAAGAAGAAGTAACTAGAAGTAAAAGGTGTGTTTCCTTGTTTTGCAGGATCTCGTAAAAAGAATGTCTGGTGACAACTCTGAGAACTTTTAGGCTAAATGTTGGTGAGGAGGTAGACTTATTAGGGTGGGAACAAACAGTCAGAAATTTCTAAACCAATCATGAAAGCAGCTCAAAGAAGAGAAAACCAGGAAATATGTATGATCTTTGAACAATGTCATGAAGACAATGTTCCCACTTACCGTAAACTGAACTGAAATAAACAGAGAAGTCTAAACTCAATACTTAAATTTAGTCTACAATAAAGCTGACTTGCTTAATAATAGTAAAAATAATAGGATGAAGTTTTTTTTTTAATATATATATATATATTGCTTTTTACAGAGCACAGTAAGTGGAGCCCTTAGAAGGCAGAAGTGATTAAAATGGCATATTGTAATTCATTATTATAATACAATTTTCATTTTTCATTTATTTATGGATATTTATTTAGAAACATAAACAGTCAGACTTTTATAGGCAAAAATGTATACCTAAACCTCAGCTGCTGCTGTTTACACTAGGCTGAGGGCAGTGATGTACACATTTGCTGTATGCATATTGAAACACTGTCATTGGCAGAGAGCAGAACATTTGATGCACCACCTTCTGGTTCAGTCCAGGATTTCACAATGACTACTTAGGATGTCTTATCCTTCTTTAGAGAATGAAGCATGATGAGAGTCGCAGGCCAGTCACAGAGCAGTCCTAGGTTAAAAGGGTCATAAGGCCCTTAGGATGGCTGTCATTACTAACCTCCATTAAGCTTTAAGAATTCAGCCCCTTGACTTTAAATCTAGTTTCCAGTCAAGGATCTTGTACACTGGTAGTTACCTGGATTGGCAATCTAGTGTCACATTTAGCAGTAATTACAAAATCCTGGACCACAAACAGGATTCAAGGTCTATATTTAAAAACCTCTGTTCTAAGTGGACAGCAAGGGCGCATATCTGCACTAGCTTGCATCACTACAACATTCCTGACAGGCAACATATTACAGGTGTCTTTGTTCGTAGTGAATGTTAAAAATAGCTCACCTTGTGCAGAACATTAAAACTACTTTGATGTTCATTGATCACATGGTCTTCAAACTAAATGATTCATCCCGTGTTGATGTGAGTATCTGCCTGCCTGAGCCAACAAAACAAACCATAAGTGGAAAAAGCAATGATGAACCCATGAGTCTGCTGCTGAAGCTCTTTGCCTCCGTAACTGGTGTGAATGGACACTGATTAAACGCAGTAAAAAACATTGCTGCATAAACACTGTTTATGGTGATATGACTCTGTATGTCTGTGTGTGTCTCAGGTGCGGCCCATAGGCTATGATGGCAATAACCCCACCTCAGTGGCTGAGTGGCTGGAGTCTCTGGAACTGGGAGACTACACTAAGTCCTTCCTCATCAATGGCTACACGTCCATGGAGCTGGTCAAGAAGATTTGGGAAATCGAACTCATCAACGTAAGTCCTGAAAAGCTTCTGTCTTTAGGCATGTCTTAGTTTTATGACATCACTTGCTATGATCGTGAGTATCAGTCACCGATGTGTAGGTTGTAGTCTGGATGAAGTCTAGCTCAGTAAGTTACAAGCCTGACCCTGGAGCAGATCTGCTCTGCGTATTGTGATGTTTTCTCTGCTCTAACACACCTGATCCAACAAATAAGCTAATTAACAAACCCTTCCTGAGCTACAGCGGGTATGTTACAGCACGGAAAAAACTAAAATATGCAGGAAAAGGCTACTAGGCCAGGGTTGGGAAGCACTGTTCTGGCCATTTCAGGAGTTTTCTTTGGATTGACAATATTGCCACAGTAGATAATCTCTTCATGAGAACATAATTTCGTATTTTGTCTATTGTCTTATTGTTGAATTGTGTAACTTAGCCAAGTAGTAGATCTGCTATGTACTGCGACTGTGATATATTACAATGGGCCCCTGATGTTACATTTGGTCTCAGTTTATTTTGATAGCATGTTATAGCCCCCTATAGATTGTATACAGTTAAAATGATCAGCAAATCATCTGGTGAAGTAAGTAGATTTTCAACAGCGTTCGGGTCAGTGTTGGGATGTGGATGAGGGTTAGGGTTAGGACCACAGTTAGGGTTAGATTTTGGTTTTGGATTGAGTGTAAGGTTAGGGTTATGGTCAGGATTAAAGTTAAGGAAACATTTTAATAGATACTTAGTTGAAAAAGTTAAAGGCAAGTTAAGTATCTACAAAAAGTGTACTGTCCAAATATAATGTTACCCACTGTTCTAAAGGGCACATATCATGGAAACACAAATTTCTCTCACTTTTTGAAATAAAGGAGTTTAAAGTAACATGTAAACATTGTTAAAGTTTCAAATGTACTGTCCACTGTATGGAAACTAAGCTGCAAAAGCAGCCTGTTATGAATTCATAGTTTCTGTGGTGTCATGAGAACCTACACACTTGCATATTTCCACCTATTCAGCCTACAGCAGTTTAGCTCCACCCACTTATATTGAAGTTCTATGGAGTGTTTCAGCCTGGGCTGCTTTTTGACTGAGACACAAAACAATAACAGCCAATTAGAACAGAACTCATTTACATATTTTTGTTTCAAAGGCACCGTAACAAAAACAGCCTGTTCAATTCTAGGGGATAAAAAGGGGTTGGAAAATGGTCACGTGAACATGAATTATGACTGGTTTTGGTACATAAAACCACACAAATGCTATTTTGGGGAAAAAATGAAATCAAGAAAAATGTAGGATATGGGCCCTTGGATTGAATGTATTGATATCCAGTCCATCATGGTGTGATTGATCAAAATATAGGCATTCTTGTGAGATTAGCCAGGATGCTCACAACTTGCACTAAAAATGTAGTGGCTTGTTACAAGTCTCATTTGTATATTATATTACAGCCTTCTGTAATATAAGTTTTGCAAAGGTCAGTACTGCAGTAATGATTACTGAATGATACATTGTGAAGGTAACATAGTGCAGTGCTGTTTCTCAGATGTTATCTTACTGCAGGAGTTTCCCAAAGCCTGTTAGCTTGTACTCTTCCATAACCAAAAGGGCAAATTACCTCTCGAATGCATCCTGATGACACTGTAGAACGTTAATGGCTGGAATTAAGACTATTCTCAGTCAAGCACATCTAGAATGTTATACATCCTCCTCAGCCAATCAGAAGGCTCGAACAGAGGCCTTTTTGTTCTTGCGTAGAAAATATAATTTAGAGAGAGAGTAATGAAATAGATTTTGCACAATGAAATCACCAGTTTAAATGATCTCACTCTGGGAAAAGCAGGTTCAAATGAGCTCCACAGGAGCTCCTTTAACACTGGTGCTTTTACTGAATAGCTGTGTGGAAATGAACGGCGGTGCTCATAGGCTGGCTAACAGTCTCTGATGAGTGTCAATCACACTCAGAGTTTGATAAGCGAGTGAGGTCATGTGGTGATGATTGGGAAGAGCATTTGGTGTGCTGTGTGACATATTCTGTGGCACATTAGTGTCAGGGTGGTCTCATATTTCTTCCGGTGTCCATATCCCACCGCAATTACTTTAGCCTAGAGCCTGATTGCTGCTCTTGGGGCCAAGATGATGAGCATGAGAGGCAGAGAGAGAGAGAGAGAGAGAGAGAGAGAATTATATAATGACGTGGGCTGTGATTTCATCTCACAAAACCACCCACGCACTGTTTAAAGTAGCTCACGGAGTGATGCAGTGGGATCTAATACAGCCTCCACCACTAGAGGGCAACAAAAGTCAAAAATCAGGTTTTGAAGATAATATGCTTAATTTTTGTGTGGGTGTGTGCATGTTTGTGTGTATATTAGAGGGGTGGCATGAAATTTTTCCATCATTATATCAGGGACCAAAATAAATAAAACAAAATAAAAAATAAATAGATAAATAAAATCAACATAAATATCGTGTGTACTATAGACTTTTTACTGAACCTCTCATATTTCTTTATAGCACTGAAAAATCGAGTAAAATTTAAAGAATTATATTTCACCAGCACTACTACTGTTAACTGCTCAGTATATACAGTACTATGCAAAAGTTTTAGGCACCTGAAGAAATGATATCAAAAAGCTGTTTATCTGGGCAGTAAGACACTAATATCAGAATAAACCAAATAACATTAATTCACAAAGTAGCATTTTTATGTATATCAGTGTTTTCATCATCCAGCACCTGGTTTAGCTAATCAAATCTGTGTTAAAGTAAATCAGGCATTTAATTCCTCTCTCCATTAAGGGGAAATCTGGAACCAAACTTTGTTCTTCCAAATAAATCACAACACCTCAGCTACTTTTTGAAAGCAAGCAATTCTTGTTACTTTTTACTGTGGTCATGCTTGTTCGCATTTGTGCGATCATTAAAGGGTGTTTTTACCAGCAAAGCACACTTATTGCCCAGATAAATTGTTTTAAACAAGTTGTTCAGACTGTTTCACTTCCACCATGACTTTCAAGGCATGATACTACTGCCAGAAATGATGTTCCATCAAACCGTTTTTTGGTTGTTTGTTTGACCTTCTCTTAAGTTGTAATCATAGAAATTTCAAAACACACACAAAAAAAAGATTTTTATTTCAGTCATGTTTAGTCCGTTCATTTCCACTTGAGTCTAACTGCGTTTTTTAAAAGTTAACAGCTTTAATGAAGTATTAGCTCTGCCCACACTTGGCACAACCACATCATGTCATATATCAAATATCTGCAGTGCAGAATCTACATGGAATATACATACATGTACATTTCCTTTGTAAAAATACCAGCGTTTCAAAATCACATAATCTCGGCTAATCTGTAGAAAACCTGCATTCATGACATTTTACATGTTCATTCCTAGCCACAATCTGAAGGATATCCCAGAAGGATTTCCTAATATAAAGCTGAATTGATCATCCAAAGATTTTTGGTTTTGGAAAATGAAAGGTGAATGGTAATTATTATTAGTAGTAGTGGTAGTAATTTTTTATTATTATTATGACTTATTATCTTTGAGTTTTGTACTGCAGAGTATCACTCAAGCTGGTAACCATTCCATCACTAGTGTGTATTTGTGCAAAGAAGATAATGGGACAGTTTTATGTTACCTTCCCTCCAAACACATACACACACAGCTCCACCTCCAACCCCCCGAGGCTGCATGGTTAAATAATCCACGATTTTGCTTGGCTTCACACAGCTTTATTAGTGCTGACTGTTTAATATGGGTGCTGCACTCTCCTAATGACACAGCTGCAGGTACCACAATCATAAGCTCTGTTACACACATCAGATGCTGTGTGTGTGTAAAGAGCAGTGAGCAGTAGCTGGTTGTAAATGTTTCTTGCTCAAACTCTCAGAGCTGTGATTACTCTAGTGTGAAGAACGGTGTTAATTCTAATGCAGGCAGCAGAGCTTCACACACAGCTACATTAATGATCAACTGATACTCACCTCCATCTCTCTCTCTCTCTCTCTCTCTCACTCAGTCTTTCTTTTACTCACTCAGTCCCCCTCTCTCTCACACACACACTCAGTTTTTCTCTCTCTCTCTCTCTCTCTCTCACTCAGTCTTTCTTTTACTCACTCAGTCTCTCTCTGTCTCTCTCTCTCTCTCTCTCACTCAGTCTTTCTCTTTCTTAGTCAGTCTCTCTCTCACTTTCTCTCTCTCTCTCCTCTCTCTCTCTCTCTCTCTCTCTCTCACTTAATCTTTTTCTCTGTCACACATTCTCTCTCGTACTCACTCAGTTTCTCTCTCGCACATGCTTAGTCTCTCAGGCAGTCTCTTTCACTCACTCAGGCTCTCTTACTCAGTGTCTCTCTTTCTCTCACATTGTTTCTCTCCGTGTCTCTCTCACTCTCTGTCTCTTTCTCACTCTCTTTCTTACTCTCTCTTCCTCCTTCTCTCTCTGTCACTGTTTCTCTCTCTGTCTCACTCTGTGCCATCTCTCTTTTTTTTGTCTCTCTTCCCACTTTTCTTTCTCTCTCTTGTATATGTCTCCCCCTCTGTACTGTTGTTTTCTCTCTGTGCCTTCTCTGTTTCTATTTCTATCTTGTCTGCTTTGCTGCTTGCTTTATTTCTTTCATTCTTTCTCTCTCTGTCCCCCCTTATTGTATTTCTTTGTTTCTCTTTCTTCCTTTCTCTGAAGATTTCTCTCGTTTCTGTTTTCTGTCTCTCCCTACACCTACTATTACTCTCTCTCTGTCTCTCATTCTCTCTTTCTGTTTTTCTCTCTCTCTCACACACACACCACCTCTCTCTTTTTCTCTGTTTCTATGTGTTACTATCTCTTTCCTTCTTTCATTCTCTCATTGTTTCTATCTGTTTTCCTGTCTCTCTCTTTTTCTGTCTCTTCTGTATGTGTGCACATGTGTATGTGTGTGTGATGGGGTGATGGGGGGATGCTGGGGGTCACTGCAGGGGCTTTGTGAATTTCCTCTAATGAGTGTCTGAACACAGTTCACATCAGAGACCGGTGCTG